TCTATAAGTTAATCACAAATGTTAAAGTTTAGCCATCACTAAACATTGAGCTCAGATTTAAATCATTCAACAAAAAATATTTAAGTAGTCACTTTACCCATTTTTTAAGGTGACGGTTCCCGATATGAATTAATGTACTCTACTTCGCTCATTCTCAAGTTCCCAATTCATTGAGATATTTGACCAATCAACATAATCTCACACATTGATGAATCAAAGAATCATTAAAATCACAAAAAGATATACATAATCCTATCGAGAGATTTAAATGAAATACACAGTGGTCAAGTAAAATTTAATTTTCCACATGGTCATGCGATAGAATTAAACTTGACACGTGGTCCGTTCAATATACTTCAAGTGTACTAATGTTACCTTTAACTATTTCTGTAATAAGGACAAATCACAAATCTAAATAGTGAATTGGTCAATACTACAACCTTCTAGTATAAGGTGTTAACCTTTATACATTGTTTGTGAACAAATTATTTATGATTAAAATATAAGTTATGTCACACTGTACTTCTCAACACAAGTATCCAACCTATATTATTTCAAGTGATCATAAGCACTTTAATTTGCATACTCAATAATAATAAATAATGTAATAAATAAATAAAATCAGAACTTATTTATTATAAATGATTATTTAATCATAGTAAAATATACTACATTGGCACACAACCTAACAATTTGAATTATAACTTATTCTAAAGTGGTATCTCACCAGTAGCTCAACACCCCAGAAAGGAGGCATTCTCCACCTTTCACCTATATTACAAAGGTAAAATTATACTTGGTACATCAATTGGTTATCAAATTATTTATTTACTTGTAAAAAAATTCCCCCGAAAAGTATATTTAGTTGAGATGTATCTCAATAAAATGTAGTCCAATTCAATTTGAACCAAACAGTACTTTTTAAATTGGATTTGAACCAATTTCAAATTCGATACCAAAAGATTACTTCTCAAGAATAAAAGAAATGTAATCCTACTTATGCCTCAATATAATTAAATAAGATTTTGGACTTAGGTTGTCAATGCGTCACGTATTATTTCAACATAGGCATAGATTTTTTAACTTTTAGGAAAAACATTTGAACTTCTTGAAGGTAAGAAACGAATATCACCTAAGTCTGTTTCTATCATATCGTTGTGTTCAAAGTAAAACATATACTAACACTTAAATTACAATGCCAGAATGAGTTCACATATTCATCGAATTCTCTTGCTAAGCTTTTAAAAATTGATGATAATTATGATGTGGGTCTATATCAAACAAGCCCTAAGATAGATTGACCATATGAATACAACTAATTATGATTTATTTATTTGTTTGAATTATATATTATTGACAAAAACAGTCGATATAAAGAGGGACGAAAAAGACAATCCTTTGAGAGAATTCAAAGCTTCATTTTTATTGGCCTTTGTTAATTGCTTTTTCTTTTATCTACTAGTCATTGTCACGTGCGTTGAATGAGCTTTGTGTTTATTGTATTTTTATTAGTGTTAAAATTGTAGATTTTTCAAATCTTGTTATATATTCAAAGTGTTTGGTGAAGCCCGATCCGTTGGTTCATTGCAATTAAAAGACTTTTAATAACTTTTTTTTTTCACCTGTAATTTTTTTTTTTTTTTGGTTTTTTTATTTGTTAAACCATTTAGTTTTTATAATTTATAAGATATGACTTACAAGTATTGAGTTTTAATTTATATGTTATTTGAGAATTTGTCTATTGTGAATTGTGATATAAAAAATTAATTTGAATATCGTGAAATGTGAATATTTGATTCATGAAAATTAAAAATGAGAAATTGGGGAATTTATAATTTGTGATGAATTGGTGTTGAGAATTGAAAATTGAAGCTTTAATTTTTATATTTTTTTTTTTTTCCTTTATTTTTTTTTTTTTTTTTGTCTTTTTTTTGTTAAACCACTTAGTTTTTTTTTTTTTTTTATTGTGTTGGTGTAAAATGATAGCTATAACTAAATGATTTAATAAATTAGAGAACCAAAAAAAAAATTGATAAAAAGAAACAAAAAATAGTTGTTATAACATTTTTAAATTAAATTGAAATAATTAAAATAAAAAATAAATATTATTTAATTAAAATTGAAAAAAATGCGTTTTATTGTAAAATAAAAAGAATAAAAAAGATTTTTAAATCGAAAAAAATTATTTATAATATGAAGAAAAAAAAATTTAAAAATTTTTAAAAAATATAATAAAAACAAAATAAAAGAAAGTTACGAAAATTAAATAAATAATGTATAAATATTTTTTAATTAAAATTAAAAAAATTAAGTTTTATTGTCAAAAGAAAAGAATTAAAAAGAATTTTTTAAATCGAAAGAAATTATTTAAAATATGACCAAAACAAAATGAAACAAAATGTGTCCATCCACACACATTTAATGGAGGATTTCTCTCCATCCACGGAGAGAATTCTTTTTTTCCCTTTTTTTTTTTCTTTTTTTTCTTTCATTTACACTATAAATAATTTTTTTTTCAATTTCAATAAAATTTAATTTTTCAATTTCAACTAAATAATATTTATATATTCTTTATTTAATTTTCGTAACTTTCTTTTATTTTATTTTTATTATTTTTTTGAAATTTGTTTTAAAATTTCTTTTTTCTTCATATTATAAATATTTTTTTCGATTTAAAATTCTTTTCGTTTTATAATAAAACATCATTTTTTATTTTTAATAAATAATATTTATTTTTAATTTTAATTATTTCAATTTAATAAAAAAAATTTACAATAACTTCTTTTTTCTTTGCCTGTAATTTTTTTGTTCTTTAATTTGTTAAATTATTTATTTTTTTATTCGTGCAAGTGTAAAATGATAATTACAAACTAAATGATTTAACAAATTAGAGAACAAAAAAAATTGGAGAAAAAAATAGAAAAAAATTACAAGAAACAAAAAAAAAAAAAAACAAAAAATGTTATTATAAAGTTTTTAAATTAAATTGAAATAATGAAAATTAAAAATAAATATTATTTAATTAAAATTGTAAAAATTGAGTTTTATCGTATAACAAAAAGAATTTATAAGAATTTTAAATAAAAAAATTAATTATAATATGAAGAAAAAATAAATTTTAAAATAATTTTAAAAAAAATACAGTAAAAAAAATAAAAAAAAAGTTACGAAAATTAAATAAAGAATATATAAATATTATTTAGTTAAAAGAATGGACAATTTTTTTATTGAAAAGTACTCTCCCTATTTCCCCAAAAAAAAAAAATGAAAGAAAAAAAAATATTGATGGTGTCATAAGGTCTCCCCGTGCACGGAGACAATCCGTGCATAGAGAGAAGTAGACTTCTCTCTTCTCTTCGTAGATGGAGAGATTTCTCTTCATTCATGTTGGACTATTCAAGGCAATGTGCTAATCTTGACACCTTGAATAAGCTCCATGATTTAGCAGAGGTAAGCTAAAGTTGAACCATTATTTTTTGGTGGGAATATAGAATGTTGAAATTTGATTAATTATAATGGTGTGGTGATTCAGGCATCTCATCTCAAAGAAAAGATTAATCTGATGTTCAATGGAGAGCGTGTAAGTCAAGGTTTTATTTTGGTGACTTTTATCATATGTTTGTTAAATAGGTTGTGTCGTGTAAAAGAATGTCTGATGTAGATAGCTGGTATCAGGTGAGCGATTGTTATTAGTTACTGGCTGCTAAACTCGTTGCCAAAATTAAACAGAAAAATGAAAGAGTTTAAGGCTTTATTTGGTTAATAACCTTTCCTACAATATCTATCTTGAAAAAAGCTGGAGATCTCAGGATAAAATTCTTGGATTCAGTCTAGGGGCCGAGGTGCCCCGATGTAAAAGGGGCGGGCTCCGCATGTGTGAAGATCCAGGATCGAGATGCTGCCACCTCGACTCTGGAAAACCCGGATTCTGAAGCATCACTCATCTATCTTTTCATTGTTCCTCTGGCATTTGTCATCTAACCCCTACTCCTTTGGTTCTGTGGCTTCTTCAGATAAATGGTACAGAAAATAGGTCCGTCCTTCACATAGCACTCCGTGCTCCACGGGATTCAATTATGAATAATGATGTTGAGAATGTGGTCCCAGATGTTTGGCAAGTTCTAGATAAGATTCGAGATTTTTCTGAGAGTGTTCGAAGTGGTGCCTGTGTATTTCTCGCATCAAATATGATCTTTATCAGTTTCGGTTGTTTCGCGATGTCTTTATACTAAATTGTCTGGAAAAATGTTAGATCGGAGCCACTAGAAAAGTGTTGAAAGATGTAATTGATATAGGAATTGGTGGCAGTTTCCCTCCGTCCATGCAGAGATTTCCCTCTATCCACACACAGACGGATGGGGAGGGGAAATATCACTGTATCAATTAAATTAGAAAAAAACGGTATCATTCTTGCTCAAACATCGGGAAACAAAAGGAATGCTACAGTGCAATAAAAATGGAATCAATAAAATAAAAAACGCTAAAGTGAGATAAAATGAAACAATTCACTATTCACTTTTACAGTAACTCCACATTCTCCTTTTTATATAGTAGGGAAATAAAACTCTCCTACTTCAGAATATAATTGATTCCATTTCAACTCACCTCTCATTCCATTCTGCAATCCGCAAGTAACGTCGTCTACAAGACCAGCTCCAACCTTAGGCCAGACTAGCCCTTCGTGATGTGACGAATATTATTTTGGTCAATAATATTCGACAATCAATATTTGCAGTGTAATTTATGTGTATGTGCACAAGTTGTTTTGATTCACACTATTAAGTTCAGTGCTTTCATTATTCCCAAAATAATTATGCTTCAGTAACGTACTGCCCACTATTAATCTCTCATGCTTGTAGCTTTTGGTGTCGACAAAGCCATGTGATTTCCGAATTTCAACTATGTTTCTCACAATCAAAAGAAACAAATAAAAAAAGGGCATTTACGGAAGGAGAATAATGATGGAATAGGGTAAAAGCAATAGGGTAAAGATGGGGAAAAAAATACAAAGCAAAAGAGACCTCTTTTCCCAACATCTTTATTGCAGTGCCAGATAGTAATGTCACTTAAGGATAATTATTTCAACGTTTGCCAAAGAGAAGGAAAACACATATATTTTCTCCGAGGCTATACTACATGTACATTATAATGTACATGTGGAAATCCATGTAGAATTATCCTTCTCTGATACCAATTATCACGGGCTTGCAATGAAACTATTCTTCGTCCGTCCACCCCTCGCAATGATCAAGACTAGCAAGTGCTTTGATCCACAATTGTTATGTGCCAGTAGAAGATCCAGTAGCTACTGCATATCTGCTTCTTTCGGCAAACTCCAAGAATTATTGTTTACAACGTTAGAAAATTGAGTCTAAAACTTGAACTATTAACATGAAAAATTCCTTAAGTATATATTTATTTTCAATAAATAGGTCGAATTCTCTTTTATGGAAAAACTTGGTATAAGAAATTTGTACAAATGGAAAAGTTTCAAAAATGCTTTAGGATGATGACAAAAATGTTGAAACGACATAAAGATAGATACCTAGTTGTCATATCAAATCACATGATAATATTTCGCAAAATTACTCAATAGAATAAAGACCAGATAACACTATGAAATAATGACATCTTTTAGTTCTCTTATCTATTTTACTTTTATCAATTTCTCCTTTTCTGTATCATTTCGGCAATAAAAGCTTTTTCTTTACATAAAAAGTAGAGAAGCTTGTGAGCCCATTTATGCAGAAAGAGAAACTCAAGTCACAAAGCTCGAGTCTTTGTTACGACATGTTCAATACGTCGATAAGAACCCCCAAATATATGTATTCCTCTATCCTTGTCCTTCAAAATTCAGAGGTCCAAGTTGATTATTATGGACAGAAAATCTTAAGCAAGATCTTAGGGAACATGATTAAGACAGAATAATCAATCTAGTGTTTATTTGTTTCGTCATAAGCCATTGATGAGTAAATTATTCGACGTACATTCTGTAATATCAAAAGGAAAGACCAAATGTTGCAAGAACAAATTAAAGATAAGGCTGGAAAAAGCATGGATTATCAAAAGCAAAAGGGTACTAGTTTGTGTGTTTGAACGTGTGCTATTATGTGCAATGTCCAATAATATCCATGTTAGGCATTTCAAGATTAGAAGCTATGACAAATACTTTAGGATTGTTTATGGGTACAATTGTTACAAAATTAAATATGCATATCACCGTAGACAATGAATTGGATAAGACTTTAACCAAAAAACAATACATTATCCAGTCCACCATGTCAAACATATTCGTATTTACTTTTCAAGGGTTTAAAGTAAAACCATTCAATGCTTCAAGCTAAAGACAGATTGAATATTTAGATGAGATCATTCGACGTAACATTAGAGCATATAAGTATCAATCTGTTTACAAAAAGTATGCACGCTTCAAACATTTAATGAAAAAGTAAATCCGAATCAATCACTGAATAAGCATACCCCATTACATATATATCCAAGAACAAAATTGATTCCAAAAATCACCAATAGAAAAAGGATAAGAAAGACATGTCTATTCATTATTAATTATTTAGCTTTATCTTTATCTTTACTGCTTCTTTTGCTCAACCTGAAAACAGTCACTTTAGTTAGCTCTCTTTACCCCTATTTTATGCACACAACAAACATCCAAGAGTCCCTCCTTATCCACACACGTTCATCATCCTCTCTTTCCTTGTCTTCTCTTTATAAATAAATCCCAACAAATACAGGCAAAATCAAAATTTTACAAGTCAGAAACAAAACACTGGCAATTTGTAACAGTCTAACATGGAATTATTGACACAAATGTGGTCTTTTCTAGGCCTCCTCACAGTCCTCCAAAACATCTTGCCTACACAGCTTCTCTCATTTCTGCATTCTATCTACGAATCCGTTCAAGATGTATGTAGCCCATATTCTTACTTCGAAATCCCAGAATTCAATGGCTATGGCGCGATTGATGTAAATGATCTTTACCTCCATGTGAATCTCTACCTCAACTCCATCAACACCTCCACAACATGCCGCCACCTCACTCTTTCCCGCTCCAAATCTTCAAACAGAATTTCATATACAGTTGCACCCAACCAAACTGTCCATGACTCCTTCAAAGGCCACCACCTCTCTTGGACTCACCATGTCGAGACTGCCCAAGATTCCCTTGATGAAAAACGTAGCTTCACCCTCAAACTTCCCAAGCGCTACCACATGACTCTCCTTAATCCTTATTTGGAACATGTCACAACACGTGGAGAAGAATTTAAGAGAGTTTCAAGCGAACGCAGACTCTTCACCAACAATGGGCACGGATCTTTTGAGTCGGGGTGGTCCTCCGTGCCCTTTCGCCACCCTTCCACATTCGACACACTTGCACTTGAGCCAGAGTTGAAGAAACAGCTAACAGATGATCTCAAGGCATTTTCTGAAGGCAAAGAATTTTATAACAAAATTGGACGCGCATGGAAACGTGGATATTTGTTGCATGGACCTCCAGGGTCAGGAAAATCCAGTCTCATTGCTGCCATGGCTAATTTTCTGTCCTATAATGTGTATGATCTTGAGCTTAGTAAAGTCTCAGACAATTCTGAGCTAAGGGCTTTGCTCATACAAACTACAAGCCGTTCAATCATAGTGATTGAAGACATAGATTGTTCAATCGATTTAACAGGGGAAAGAATAACAAAGAACAGGAGATTACGACCAATGACTAAGAATTGCCAGCATGGAAGTGGCAATGGAGAGGATAATGGGCGGGTGACTTTATCAGGGCTGCTGAATTTCACTGATGGGCTATGGTCATGCTGTGGAGAAGAGAAAGTGATTGTTTTCACTACAAACCACAGGGACACAATCGACCCGGCACTGATTAGATGTGGGCGTATGGACGTGCATGTTAGCCTGGACACATGCGGTATGCATGCCTTCAAAACCTTGGTGAAGAACTACTTGGGGGTGGACTCACACGTACTGTTTGATGTGGTGGAGAGTTGCATAAGATCAGGTGGGGGCCTTACGCCAGCTCAGATTAGTGAGATCTTATTAAGGAACCGTCGAAATGCTGATGTGGCAGTCAAAGCAGTGATAACTGTCATGCAAGCAAAGATTTTGGGAGCTGACATGGCAAAGTCACCGGAGAGCCTAGACCGGGGTTTGACTGAGTCTTTACCAGAGAAAAAAAGGGAAGAGAGGTCTAATTCTTGGGAGAGTAAAGCTAAATTTCTTGTAAGACTCACATCTTTGACAAAATCTGACTCTGGAAGAAGGGGAATTTGAAGTTTGAACCTTTCCGGAGCTTTAATGTAATTTTTGAGTATAACCTATGAAATTTTTGTGATTCAGCTCATATTGGAGCCATTAAGCGCTCAACAATTTATTTAGACTGGTAAAAGTCTTACAATGTTTGAAGTAGTAATTCTGAGAATTTTATAAAAACTTTTAATGAGTTGAATCCTGACTTGGATACGGCTTTATGAAAACATTCATAGTCCCATAAAAAAACCTCTGGACAAAACATAGCAAAAGATAGTGTTTCCAAGAATTTTTCAATTATGTTAATGGTATTGGATAAAAGATTTATATAGACTAAAATGAATAATTTTCAGGCTGTAAAGAATGCAATCAAATTATAGAGGTCTTTAAAATTTATGAGTACTGAAATTGATAGTACAGCCCACAGAAATGAAGTGATGAAGTCTTGCAGTCTTATAAACTATATAATCAAGTGTCTATGATGACAATGAATTAAGTTTCTAAAGGGTAAAAGGCCTGTAAAAAAATGGGTAAGTAAATTGAAAAGTGTCAACATATGAGTTTGAACCCAAAGCTCAAGAAATGGTTTTTCAGGGGCACATGTAATAGAGTAGACCTGTAGAAGAGAAACTGCATACACTTTTGGGAACTAAATACATTACGAGAGATTAGGAATATTTATGAGTTGGGTTGGACTGATGTTGCAATGTGTTCCATGGTGCCTTGGATATGAGGAAAACCTTGTTGCCGTCACTGATTGCTATTATGTTTAATAGTACGATCATTTATTTCAATCTGTTTTGTTGCTGCTAAGTAGTATATTAGTGGGTTATGGTTTTCTAAATTGAAAAGTCAAAGGTATATGTATCAACTCTTGGGAAGATCCCCCCCCCCCCCCCCCCCCCCCCCACAAAAAACCCCACCCNNNNCCCCCCCCCCCCCCCCGGGCCAAAAAAAACCCCATTGCTTTAATCTTGAAACTGTGAAAACATTTTATTCAGTCATAAGAAAAACAAATAGGAAAAACACAGATTAACTAGAGAAAAGTGATTATCTGATAAACTTCGATCTAGTCATGTTTTTTCTGATTTATTGTGTGGACACATTCGTGACTATAAGTTATTTCATGGAAAATGTTAGCTTCCAAGAATTCAACATAAGTTTCTACATTCCAGCCAGCTAATTATCCATCTGTTTAATCTCCCAAATTGAATCATAACACAAAAATTATGCATATCAAAAGAAAGTAATTTGGAATTCCCAGCATCAGTTATGGACACAGGCCATAATCACAACATGAACATACAAAAGATAGGAGAATTATCTGCAATGTGAAGTTCAGGAATCAACTCAATTCAATACTTATGACACATATTTATTGATTTGTAGAAGAATAAGCGCAAAAAGACGCATGAAATTAGTTTCTTTCTAAACAATAACCTGCAATAAGAAACTGAAACTGTCCCTAAAATCATGGACTCAATGAAGCTCAAAAACATATGAATATATTTAAGCTAAATTTAAATTGCACAGATACCATCAATGACCTCCCTCAATTTGTGAAATAATGCAGGAATGGAAAATCTATTAAAATGTAACTCTATTTTTCGGTTGAATTCAACAAAATCCAGATGACTCACCAGAACTTGAAGACGTTGCAACCACATCATCTTCCATCCGCCGCCGCCACATCCTCCTTCCTGATGACTATTTCCCCTTTTCCAAATCCCTGGCATCTCTAAAGCGAAGGTGTTCGTGGATTTTGGGTAATCTGAAATCATTCATTTATAATAATTGTCAATACAGCTATTGCCAACGTCGCTTTGGCCGAGTGGTTAAGGCGTGTGCCTGCTAAGTACATGGGGTTTCCCCGCGAGAGTTCGAATCTCTCAGGCGACGTTTGTGTTATGGTTTTTTCTCTTCGTTCAAGTTTAAAATACTTCCAGTTTCCTACAAATAAGAATGTGCACAAGTGACTATAATAAAGAATATATTATATTAACAATTATAAGTAATTTTCTTTTAGTGCGTCCTTCACAAAGTCTTATTCTTATTTGTGTAATTTTATGGGGAAACAAAGTTTTATATCCAAAAGAGTATAGTAATGTTATTTGTATATTAAGATTTACAGATTGATATATAGAATGATTATATGAATTATATTAACTAACTTCTAATTGATTTCTTTTTTATTTCTGTCTATTCCTCTCTCTTGCATGTCATTATTCTATACATGAACTTGTAAATCATGACGTACAAATAGCATTCTCTAGATTATAAGGTAAAATTTGCATGCAGTCAACGCCTAATGTGATTTTCTATGGTTTTGATGGTTGCTTGAAGGTTGAAATTTAGGAATAACGAAGAAATTTGTCAAACCCCGATACTCGAGATAGAGATTGCTCGCTTAATCAAGTATTCAGGTCGGGGTCGAGGTTGAGGATGGGGCGGGGGACTTCACCCCGAGCAAGTACGGGTAACAAAAGCCCCAACCTATTTAACTTTTTATTTTCTTTTGAAGAATTCAATACATTAATGGAAAACTCCATGAAATTTAATTAGTTCTAATAGAAGATGACAACTAAAATTATTTAAGAAATATGATAAACAAAAAAAGTCTTAGTTTATCAAATATATTTGAATAATTTAACTTTTAAAAATAAATTAATTAATTAAAAATTTATTAAATATATTATTGTCCCACTTTAATGAATGGGGGCAATAAAATGAATTATAAAAAATAAAAATAAAAAAAAACTAAAAAAAAAATTTAAACGGGTAGCAAATGCGGCAAGGGCCCACCTCGCCTTAAATGAGTAACGATGCAGGTACAGAATGGAAAATTACCATGCAACCTCCCTCGCCCCAATCTTGCCGGTTGCCATCCCTATTCAAATTAGAGCTAGTTTGTGGTTGGGATTAGATTCATCCACATGTATTCAACTCAATAAGAAGAGATAGATAGTGTGTTTGGCAAGATGATGTAGGGCGAAAATGAAGAATCGATGAATGAACACACTATCAAATTTCTGTAAATAAATATCACAACACGATCAACATCTAGTTGCTATTTTTTCCTTAAGAATAAAAGAAATCAAATTATAAAAACTTATAAATTCACGCAGGTATACAAAAAATTTGGACTCATTGATTTTATATATTAAATATCAAGAATTTCAGAGAGAGAAAAATTTCAAAGTGTACAATATCTATTCCAAAACAACTTATTCCCATGAAGACTTACAACTATTATTTTAAAAAATAACTAAAATTTATATAATTATACAAAATTCAGATAAATACTAAAATTAAAAGTTTAGGATGAAAATTAAAAGTTCTAATACTTAAAATCATTTCAAAATAAATGAAATTAAAATTTGATTAGTCTTCAATTGTTCGAACCAAGTTTGATTTAACTCAAAATCCTCTGCTTTTGCTTCAAATGTTCCAAGTCAAAAATTTATCTAAAATTATAATATTTAAACTTAATTAAGTAAAATTATGTTCAAAATTACATATATAAATCAAGGGAACAATACAAAATTAAGGTGGTTAGAAAATACAATTTTGAAAATTAACAAATATGTTTTAAATATTCAAAAATCATGTTATAATTAAATTTAATTAATTAAATAAATTATTAAATATATTAAAGTCACAGTCCTATACAATTTATTATCACAATTACTTAGTAATCATAGTCAGAAAATTTCACAATCACAAATTACAAATTTCATATGTCACGACTTATTTATTAATTACAAATTATTAAATAATCACACAATATTTCTCGATCACAAATTATTTATCTGTCACAAATTATTAAATTAATATGTCACGTATTATTTCTTGATTATAAATTACAAATTTTATATGTCCCAACTTAGTTTACAATCACAAATCACTAATTTTATAAATCAAAATTTATTTATCGATCACAAATTATTAAATTAATAGATCACAAATTATTCTGAGTCACAAATCACAACTTATTTTACGATCACAAATTATCAAATTAATTGATCCCAAATTATTTCTCGATTACAAATTATTAAATCAATTGATCACGACTTAACATATTATGAGTCACGGTTATAAATTTAGTCACAATCTCATACTTTATTCTCCAAAGCTCCAACAAAGCAGATCTCCAAAACCACCACCAAAACCCCTAAAAACCCAACACATGAAAACTACCACCGCCTTCACACCACCAAACAACTGTTTTATTTTCCATCGACAGCCACAAATAAAAACAATCACCAAACTCCCATTGTAGTCATCATTGTGGCCAATTGAGAAAAAGTCACTGCAAAACAATAATTGAGAAGGATAGCATAGATCGTAGCCAGATTGATGATCGACAGCTAGATTGTAGTCACTCCATCGTACTCAAGGGTGACATTGAACAGTTAGAAGGGCAAAGTTTGTACCATCGTCATTACCGGAGAAGTGAAAATATTGACTTCAAATTGGTAATGTAACCAATGTCCCTAAGTTATAGGAGTGTTAGCCTTCAACATTTTCTTGGCAAATACCTCTTCGACCATATTAGGTCACTGTTTGACGCTAGTTTTCAGCAACATAGTTAAAATTGAAGAAGTGTGTATTTGTAAACAAAAAGATTTTTTAAGAGTGCATTAGGTTTATTTTTTTCAATTTTACAAAATACCCAAAACATGTTTGATACGATGTTTCTGAAAATGCATTTTCGAGAATAATTTTAAATTTATAATATTAAACTCAAAACTCATTTTTGGCATTTTGATTATTTTCAACCGTTGTTTGGCCCTATTATAATGATAATGTGGGAAATACGAAGAAAAATGAATTTATAATTTTAATGGGGCTCAAACACGAAGAACAATAAAATTCTAAAAACTTAAAATTCAAAAAAATTGAATATTAAATTTTAAAAAATAAAATTTTAAAAAGATGAATTAAAAAAATAAAAATGATAAATTCTAAAAAAAGTAAAATTTTTAAAATATAGAATCAATACTATTAGAAAATTAGAATTCTAATAAAAAATAAAAAAATAAAAACAAAATTATAAAAAATCTAGAAATATAAAAATAAAAGAGTTCAAGCTCTTAATTATTATTTAAATAAGAATTTAAGAAAAATATATTTAAATGAATATAAATAAAAATATTTTCAATCCATGTTACCAATTTTAATTTTTATATTCTATATTTAGTCAACTAGTTTATTTATTTATCTATTTATTGTTTTGTCCTTTTGTAGCGAGAAAAATGAATTTTAAGATTTACCAACTTTAAAATGTATATATCACTTGATAATATATTAACATAAAATTATTTTATTGATCAATCAAACAGTACGGCCATTTACATCCATAATTTTTATCTATTATTAAAATTATAAAAAATTAGTATTGTCATTCACGTCACATTCTAATATTTTCCTTATTAAATTTATTCAATTAAAGACTATATATCCACACAAATTTTATATATTCTCACCCGAAATACATCCATAATACAATCTCAAAATTTTAAAAAATCACTATATTCACCCCCATTACATATAACATCAACATTTTTACAATTCAATAATTAATTTTAGGGATAGTTGTAGCAATGGTCCCTAACCATTCACATTTCTGTAGACTTTATCGTAACATTCAATTTATACCAATGAAGATTCCAAACCTTTGAAAATTAGCAATGGGGGTCCAAATAGATGAAAATTCATCCATTAGACCTTTAGTTGATCAGAAAAGTTGATTTTGTCTAAATTTGAAAAGGGTATAATGGTAACTAAATCAATCTCATATTATTAAAAACCAACAAATTAGAAAAATAAATAAATAAATAACCAAACCCACCTCCTTTCCCACACCCCACCCACACTATTGGCACTTGTTGACCTATGGTTGATTTCATCCTCAATGTTTTGATCATAACAAACAAAATTAATATTATTTCTAACAAATTATTTTAAGTGGTATTAAAAATCTATCAAGCATTATATATCAGACTTGAAATGAAGATCAAATTAGAAGTTACTTATGCATTAAAGTCAAATCATTCGAGACGAGAGCTTAAAAGATAAACGCCAAGAAAAGTCAAAATCGAAGTTAAGCATTGAAGATCAATGACAAGAAAGAAAAATATCAAAAGATCAAGAGCCAAACATGGAAGAAACTTCAAAGCAAGCTCAAAGACTAGAATTTCTAGATCATATGTAAAGGTATAATACTTTGATCTTTAGTAATGAATGACAATGACTCAAAAATCATTTTGTGCACGAAAAGTTGTTTTTCATTACCACTTGCAAAAAATGTTTTTATCAAAAGTAAGGTTGATTTTTTAAAGTCATACTTGAACTTGGATCACAATTCTTTAAAAAAAAAAATTTCAACAGTCAATGGTCAACCGGACGTCGGTTCGCCAACAGTCAATTTTTTTTGTTACCGTTGCACAACGGCTAATTTGGTCGTCCGATTGCTAGGGGACATTTGGTAGGGTCGTCCGATTGAACAAAAAAAATCGTTTTGATTTCTATAAATACCACTTCACTTCAATTCTTCACAATAACAATGAAGAGAGTTTTCTTGTGAGATATATTTGTGAAAAATCTTCTTTGAGTTTGACTTTTATTTTTATTTTTATTTCATTTATTTCTTCATAGCGAAAACTTTGATTGTTGAAATCAAATTTCTTGAATCAATTTCATTCATCAAAGTTTTTCATCTCTTCTTGCTCTTAGCTTATTTATTTCAATTTTGAAAGAGAGA